CAAGAACAAATGCATTTATTTTAAGGAAAAATTACTTATCTAGATTTTTTCCAGTGCGTTATTTTGCTTTTTGGAATAAGAGGATTGTTTTTTTAGAGGCTACAGAATGCATTGATATTAATACAGCAGTTTTAAAAAAAACTGATTTTTTTTTATTACTCAAATAGCAAGAATTTATTTAATTTACTGCCATAAATTCTACACAGCAATCCAGTCCCCATGGCATCTACCCATCCAGCCGAGAAGAATCTGGTGAAGGATGACAACAGCTCAGGGGAATCTGCAACAACTTCTGCAAAGAGAGGACAGTGGAGCAACAAGACAGAGTTTGTTTTAGCAGTAATGGGAGGAATCATCGGTCTGGGAAATGTTTGGAGGTTTCCGTATCTTTGCTTCAAAAATGGAGGAGGTAAGTGGAGGAAAATATATCAGAGAACATTAGGGAGAGCTTAGCTTTTATATGCATATCCTTTTTATATCATCTGCCTTAGGAATTTTCCTGGTGCCTTATTTTCTGATGCTGCTTTGCTGTGGAATCCCCATCTTCTTCCTTGAAGTGTCTTTGGGACAGTCGACCAGGCAGGGTGGAATTACATGTTGGAGGAAGTTGTGTCCTTTATTCGAAGGTAATGCTAAATTCGATGCAATGTTATATTACCAGGATCTCTAACTGGGTTTGTACTGTTTTATAACGGACTCTTTTCTACATAGGTTTAGGCTACAGCAGTGTTATAATAATACTCTACACTTCAACATATTACATCGTCATATTGGCATGGACCTTCTTCTACCTCTTCTCTTCCTTCCAAACTGTCCTGCCCTGGGCGAGCTGCAACAACACCTGGAACACAGGTATGACTTCACTCTAAAGAGAGAAATTTTGAAAATGACCTTTGTTTCTCTCAATTATTAATAAATAGCAACAATTCAGGAACAAATATTGAGATTTTTTTGATAAATTAGTCACTTCAGTAGAATTCATATAAAATGTCACCTGAAAGTTATTTTATTGTAACATATTCATACCTACCTCCCTCTATCTTCCTTTACACGTCTTTCACACGTGTTTGAAAGATGTAAACACTATGCAAATACATAAATGTGCAGCCAATTCAATTAGAAAATAATGCAATAATCCCAAAGGGAAATTAAATTAAAACACTACATAGACAAAAGAAGGACTTACACAAAAAAGGACTTACCTATGCAAAGAAACAATTCCGCAAATGATAAATGTTGCAATCAAAGAAAATAAATAGCATTGTAGTGGAAATGCGCTGAATAAACGATGATAATCTAAAAACAAAATATGCAAAAAAATGCAACAAGTAGTAGAAACAGATATAAAGAAAAGCTGCAAACTAGCTCTGCAGGAAGTACTCCAGACCACTAGGGGGAGACAATCATTGACTCAAATAGAACAGGACACAGATTTTAACAGGAATAAATGTCTGTGGCCCAGATCCTTAGTAGAAAAATAAACGGGATGCAAGTCCAGAGGAAGTTTGGAAGAAAGAAAGTATATCTAGGTTTTAATTTTATTTATTTTTTTAATGCTTAATCTCCCTGAGCGTCCGGTTTCTGTTATGGACTGCGGACAGAAGGACCCAGTATTCAAGGAGAGACAGTCAGTAGGAAAGTTCAAAAAGTTTATTAAATAAAACAAAAACTAAAGTGGAGCTGTGGCTCGCGGACACTGCAGGATGGGGAGCGGGGCACCGCCCAATCACAGACACTCTGCAGGAGAAACACAGGTAAGTGACCCCGATCATCTGATCGAAGATGATTATCTGAGTTGGCTAC